CGGAATGTGTACACAGAAACTGGTCCCACTGAAAACTCAGATTTGCGTACAAACCTCAAGCCTCTCTGACACACACCCACGATTACGAGTATATTAAGAATTATCGTTCGATGACGAATGGCGTCCTGATGAAGGTACTAAAAAAAGTACAGTTACGAACTTAATGCTTTTCGCCTAAATCTATGCTCATAACGACTTGTATTTAAAATATTGTCATTAATTTCATGTACTGATCGTTTTTAAAACTTTCCCCAGTTTTTGAATACGAATTTACCTTATTTTCTGCTCATCCAGTCCTTGGCTTGATCACCGGAATGATATTCCGACCACAGAAGTAATTTCAAACTAAGTTACAGCAAGGTATAAAATAAGTTACTTACAATTGCAAGTAACATGTATCCATCCATCCATCTATTTATTCCGTTGCGGTTTTCCGACTAAAATTTTAAACGTTTTCTTATAACTCCCATGCGTTCTACGTATCCCGCCCACCACACTATCTTTATCTGATTAAACTGATATTGGGCGATGACTTCACGTTATGCAGTGTTTCAGAAACTACAATAATTCCGAAATCTTTCTAATGTAACCAATCTAGCAGATATTCCTCCCCCCGTTCATTTTTTTAACCTCAAAACGAACTAGGTCCTGTTAAAGAAACGTTGTGTGCTTGAACAGTATGAGACGATGGGGAAAGGAAGAAAAAGTCAAGTAATACTAATGCGAAATAAATAAGTAAAGTTGTTTCAGCTGATTTACGTCTTTGAGCCACTGAAGAATGAAGCATCTCACTTGATCTACGGCTAATCCCTAGAAATTCTCAGTAATGCAGCGAGAGGACTGTAATTTGAAATTACGGGAGCCATCAGTCCACTGAATGTACTTCAGAAAGAAATCTATTGATTTCTCCGTCCATCACATCTTTTGTCCTCGGTCTGACTGTGTTTGACTGTCAGTTCAACTCATTTGTTTGCTTTTGTTAGTACGTCTGGTGGAACTTGCTTCATTCGTCTTGGCCACGTCCACTTCCATCCTTCCACCTGTCCAATCGCAAATGTCCTGCATTCACGACTTCCATTACCAAACCCCACTTCATTCAGGACTGAAGTTCTTGACACATCCAGTGGAAACATTTTAAGATTTACGGCAATGTGCATACACGATGTAAGTCTTAAGAACATCTTCAAACAGAATTTGTTTTTATTAATTAACACGTCAAAGGACAACACCCATGCGAACAAAGTTTAAGAAATGCGGTTTTTACATTCAACAAACACACAAACAAGTGAATGGGCATGTAGGGTCTTCAGGTTCTCAAGGGGTTGAATGTGAGTACGATCATATTGAGATGTGGCGCCGTGCAGTCTCGTAAACTACATTGAGACGACGACGACAAATTCGTAAGTCTCCTTTCTCATTCATTTGCTTCACGGAGAGAATACGAGTACAGAATTCGTTACTTCACTTTATGGTTGCGCTAAAGATTTGCATATTAAAGTATTCAGCGCTTCACTTCGCACTAATATGCGAGTTTAATCTAAGCGTCTACGAGGTGGACGCATGAAAAGTTTCCGACAAGAAAGACTAAATAAGAAATGTAAGCACGTGTCGAGTTTCTTCGCAGTAACACTGCTGGCACTTTGCTAGTTTATGATATTTACTCTGAGGAATTAATGGAAAACATAACCAAACACGGCTGATATTAAGTGTCATGAATGTAAATTTACGCGGTATACAATATAGCAAAAAAAAATGTGTCAATGTCCAATGTCATGACGAGGTAAGATATTATCTGAAGCATGGTGAATTTAAAGAGTTTTACTTTCTTCTCTATTGATTTAAAATAGTTTAATTTTTTCGACATTATTCACTATTAAATAGCAAATTTTCTTCACCTCACGCAAATACCGGTAATACCACCTTAAATAGACCACGACCGTTTCCATTCACATTGAAAATGTCATTTCCCAAATTTACTATAAATTAAGTTGGTTAGAAGTATTATTATCCTGCTAAAATGTAGGACATATGCTTGGCAATTAGTTGGTGTTGAAGTTCTATTAATAAACCAGTTTACTGAACAGAACGTGATGTAACAGTTTAATCGTCAGAAGGGGGGGGGCTGGTAAAATGTCTGACAGCAAGGGATAATGACTACTCTGGTCTACTGGAGCGTTCTCCATCATGCTGATTTATGTAGACTGGATTCACAGACACCTCTGCGCGTAAAATTTCATTTTAATATAGATTTTGTGAGTTTTATAAAAATTCCACGCGCAGATGAATAACCCCTTCTTTGCATTTCTTCCTTAAGTAAAACCCCTTTCAGTTCAGATTTTACTTAATTTGACATGGCGTGATGAATGACTCCAAAGCTGATCTTTAGAATTATACACGTATCCGAGCTTAAAAGTGCCAGTTTCTGAGAATTTTCGTTCTTAATACGTAATCAGCAAGTATTGCCGAGAATACCTACATCTACTTCCATTTAAATAAATTTATTCAAACAAAGATCCTATCAAAGTTTACTAAGAAACAAACAAACAATTTTAACGCTTTCTCAGTGTAGGTTGTGACCGGCAGCTCAGAGAAACGTGCCCAGTTTCATCACCCGAATCCCGCGATCTTCAAGTTGCTCATCATTGGCAGGTCGCTGATAATGTTATTTTCATGGCTCTCAGGTTAAAAACGCTTTTGAAATTACACATGTTCGGATGTTTGAAAATCGGAAATAAATTATTTAAAATTTTGCTTGGGATAATACATATTGGATATAAGTATTTGAAAATAATCCCAACACAAACACAATAATATACCATCGTCACAAGAATTAAATTGCTAAATCAACTAACACATGATTTGTTCTAACCAAGCAAACAACAGACATATTTGTGCGATTGTGATATAATGCTCTTATGGTTTATTTATAGGACGTTTGTTCATTTTACAGCAAAGAGTGAGAAAACACCAAAAATTCTATCAGAACAACTGAGTACCTTCCAAACAAACGTCAATATCTTCAAATCAAGGTCAAAATTGTACAGTCCAAGTCGAGTACGGAGTCTAACGTGTCTAGATCAGAGCGCACACAAACTCGATGAATGACTTCTTAGCACCCACAAAACACACAGAAGACTTGCTTCATGTTTGCGTTCGAGTCTAATCCTTTTGGATAACAAGTAATCTGCTGAAGTTCGGTATTTCATTTTTACTTCAAAGTTAAAGGATAAAATAAGATTATATGGTGACGGGACAGGAAAACCCATATTAAGCCCCAAAGAAGTTTCTAAAATGCACCCGCAAGATGGAAAACTATTACGAGGGTTATAATTGTCAAAAGGCCTCAGTCAGGTAAGCTGATGTTACATGATGCGATAATGAATAATGTATAAGCACACTGACACAGCTAAAGTCTGAAGATTCATAGCAGCGTTCATCGGGGAAATTACGAAAACTCGCAAAGAGTGAAATTAGGTCCAAAGATTGTTTAAAAGTCAAGGCAGGAGTCGCTGACTGCTTCGCATTTCTCACAGAATGTTTTAATACAGTTCTAAAGACTGAGAAAAGTTATTAGCAATTCTTACTCTTTCACATGAACGTAATTAAATTTTTAAAAATAAATTTTGATAACAATCAGTCTTTCTGTTTTATTCTCGTGCCTTTTGTTTAATCTTCGCAATTCAAACTATCACTTTCATCAACAATTTATAAAATAAAACAAAGACACGTAGTAGTCGATGAAGAGTAGAAACACGGTTTCGGACTCCGCTCAGCACATGGATCTTTGTCCACATTATTCCGCGTTCAGTTACCCTACGTATAAAAGTTAGGTAATAACTGGTATGTCCATGAAATAAGATACATGACCTAACTCAATAATATATATCGCCTTTCCTATACTACGAGACCACTTTCACTTCTGCACTGAACTACTGTTCAATTAAGTGCGAACAGTGGGAAATATTTAGAACAGTATTAAAATATATAATAAAATTCAGGTCAATACACAAACTTTATTTAGATGTTAAAATTTAAAATTTAAATGTTAAAATTTAAAATTTAAATGTAGTGAAGTGAATGAAGGCGCTCTATTGTAACATCGTTATAGTGATGAATGGCGCAAATTTAAATTTTAAATTTTAACATTTAAATTTTAACATCTAAATAAAGTTTGTGTATTGACCTGAATTTTATTATATATTTTAATACTGTTCTAAATATTTCCCACTGTTCGCACTTAATTCGTCATGTTGAAATAATAAATCACATAACCTCATCTTAAATCATTAAGGGCAGCGACAGATGGCAGGGCCTCTGTACTATAATTAGTGTATTAATGAATCACATAAACTATTCACACCGACTTGTATCTGAAGTTGTCTTACGCGATACATAACCGCAGAGCAGTGTGCGAAGAAGATTTCCATAATCTGGAAACTTTTGCAATACACTAGATCGCTCCAAAGCGTTATGTCCGTAGAGACCCAACGACTGGACATCAGAATGTCCTTATAAAATGTAATAAAGTTCGTACAATTAAGACAATCATGATTCTAGTCAATATGTAGTTTAATGTTGGCTGAATTTTATCTTCTGTTAAAGGAAGTAGAAATACTTTGCAGACTAGACTCCTGTAATAAAACCGTATAAAGCTCCAATTTACTAAGTTTCACGTTTCATCTTCAATCACAGACAATTAGTTAACAATCCGAGTCAATAACTCTACTTTACGAACAAAAGCAACATAGGAGAAATGAATGAAGAATTTTAAAATTTAAAAATGTATAGAATCAAGGAGAAACTAATAAAGTGTACTTTATTCGTGTCAGGGCTAACAGTAATGAAGAAACCGGATAAAGAATTAATTTTTTATCTAAACTCTGATTGAAGTAAATTCCAACTCTTAATTATTAATCAATTAAAATCTGTTTTTTTTATCAGAAACACATAGGAAACGGACGTTCATAAAGCCGAATATAGTGATCGAAGTCTGGACTCACCGCATGCGTGTAATGAAGGCCGGGGTGAAGTCGAGACTCGTCCAGATTCCCAAGTCGGAATGTTTTACCTCATCCCATGTCGAGTACTTGATGAGCGAGCAGGCAGGCGAAGGCAACGCTGTAACAGAGAGAGGCCTTTCGTTAGGAAAATGAATGGCTGGGGACAATTGGAAAAACCTTACAGAAATTTTGCGTTCGCAGTAAAAAATTAACAACGAAATAAATCTCAACCTTCAGGAAATAAATCTGTATAAACGATCTGAAGCTTTAACTGCGACTGAAAGCAATGAAATGCTTCAGTGCCCTGAGGACGAGGACAAAGACGGCTCTCGAGAAGTTTGTCGTCCTTTCACCTGACGTGGCTGGTAGCCCGAGAAGAATTTATTATACACAGCGGCCGGAAAGCTGCAGATCATAATGTGAGCTCGGATGAGTGAAACTTGGAGGCCTATAGGAAAAGTGCTGTACGGTGTGCTGCTAGATTCACCCCTCTCGATCAGAAGAGGAACATAAATTTGTCCTTCTACATCTCGTGCGTGAGTAAGCGAGCTTCAGTGTGTCCATCGCGCTTGGGTGGGGAAAAAAATGTGAATATGAGGGCTATGCTTAGCCCGATCTTCCCGAATGACCACAAAAGTCATAATGTAATGTCCTCATTAAGAATTTAAATATTTAGAAGTTTCCTGAAGTAACTTATTTCTCATTCGACTGAAGGAGCGAATGCAATACAATACCAGACTTCAGTTTTAATCAACAACCAAACAGAACACTTAACTCTTGACTAAATTAAGCTGTCTTTTCTTAAATTATTCCAAATCCATATAGAACTTTGAAGGGATTGTATCAATATCGAATGTTCAGGAACAGCTTTCAAAGAGAGTTTCGACATTTTAAGTATAATTCTGCATTGTAAATATTCTACTGAAATCTGGCAAAAAGCCATAGTAATATCATTACTTAAGAAAAGCAGATACAGAAGTTTGTGAAGATAAGAGATACGTTGGTCTGCTCCATGTTCGATAAGCAACTACTAAAATCAGGAAATATTGTCCACGAAGTTAGTTAAGAACGTCAACTTCTCTGCAGAGAATTCGACCTTCAGATGCATTTATATCGAGATGTTTTGTCGTTTCAAAGAATCTCAAAACTGGGTGTAACTGGGTTGTCTAATGGCGTCTGACAGATGCGAAACGTTGGCGACTTCCGGGCCACAAACTTCGCTCGCTACTTGTTTTTAAAAAAAGAATGTTCTGCCATTTGTATCTGTCCATGTTTGTAGTTCCGCTTTAAAACTCGCAGACCAAGGGCGGCACTAGTAACAGTGGCATCAGTCGCCAAGAAAATTTATTTTCACGAGACGCCGATCTAATCTCACAGGGTACAAATTGTTAATGTTGTGAAGTGACTCAAGATCATGGATATATTTTTTGAAGTTCACTTTTGTCTATAAGACAAAACGCCTCTAAGTAAATTATTCAATAAAACGAGCACTGCTACTGGTTTAAACAAAATGTGGTACATTTATATCTAATTTATTTTACGACGCTAGATCATTAGCTTAGATTATAGAGTAAAATTGCATGTCGGTTAATGAATAATGAATTGGAAAAGATATGGAAGTGGTCGTGGCTTAATTTAAGGTAGGCCTGCTATCCCGCCATTTGCCGGAAAGGACTGAGGGAAATCTCTAAAATCTTTCTTCCGGACAGTCTATATACCAGCAGACATTTTAACCCGGGGCGTCCCGTATAAGAAACGAAAGTCTTAACTCTTTACTGTTACGTTCGATAAAATTTGATACGGAAATAAACACTGCTGTACAGCCAAGACAATAAATTATATTATGTTTAAAAACGAATAGATGTCAGGCGATAATATGTCACATTCACACACCCACACAAATAAGATGAATCGACTTAAATTGGGGTACATAAACCGTAGCCACATTGGGAGGCTTCTTCTAGGCCTACTGACAGCGAGCCATGAGATAGAGCAGGGCAATATCCAGACTCCTTTCTTCTCTTCTGGGCATACGAAGAAGTAACATCGTATTCAGTTTAATTGCTTTAAATCACCAAAATCTCCTCGCACAAGTTTCTCGAGTTTATATACGAGCTCGTATGAGCAACGTTAACTTCGTATTTCTAAACTTATCTTGATTCATCAATGAGGTGTTTAATAAAAGAGTTATAACTAGAACTTTGAGATCTAAAGAGACAGAAAGTAATAGGATGAGAAGTAACTCCGTGGGGCACAGAAAGTGTTTAGAAGAGTAGCTTACTCCATGATACTAATGGAGCTTCAATGCAACACCTGTCCGCTTTTGTTGCAAAGTCGAAGGAAACAAATTCATTCCAGAAGTTAGAACTGACTTTAAATAAGTACGGTGAACGGGTGTTGGCTGGATTTACTGCATCACGACATGGCGGTAATGAACCTCAATGTTCCATAAAAGTCAGGTTATTTTTGGAAAAGCTAAATGGCTATCTACCAACTTAATGGAAAATAACTCGGCTTCATTATTCTTGTCAACGTAATCATGTTTCAAAGCAGAATCAAACTTTTAGGCGTTTAAAAAAATAATACATTCTCTTGATGCCATTTCATTTCTTGTGTCATACGAACGTTTTTTCTCAAAAGCAAAGCTTAAAATGTTCTAAAACAAGAACGCTAGAGGAATTTATAAGACACCTAAATTTTAATCATTAAACTGTAATCAAGTGCCTATAATAATAATAAAATATAAGGTTAAATACATGTTTAAATACAAAAAATAAAACCGTTTCCGAGCTGCATATGACCACAAAATGCCGTCTCATCATTCATGCGTCTGAATGAGCCAACGTATTGTTCACACAGATGGCAGGCCGTTCGCTCATGGCCACCTGACAAATTGTCACCTCATTGTTTCAAATAGCGGCACCAATAACAATAACCATGATTCAGGGTAGTCGCTCTCTGCTCTCAAACAATAGAAATTGGCTTCGTGAGTAATCATGAATCCATAACGCGTTCATGCCTCGGGAACTGCACAATCCGAGATCCCAAGTCAAGAACGCAGAACGGAGTCATGACGTAATAATAAAATCTGACGCAAAACTTACTATACAACTGAATATAGAATTCCCGCTTTATAATTAATTATGAACCGAACTAGGCGAGCATTAGTCAATGACAGAAGAAAGATGGAAATATTTGTTAAGCCTCAGAATAGGAAAACATTTAAACCGTAAAACCGAAGGAACGGTTTACTATATTCTAAGCAACAACATTAAAATAATGAAAATAGAAAACAGAAAAAATTAGTGGACACAAAATAGGAGAAAAGTACATTTAAAATGAGTTTATTCCTAGAAAAAAAAAATGGACGAATGATATTTTAGACACTTCTACGTTACAATGACAATGGCAGACAGATCAATGACATTCCTTAAATTATATATTTAATATTACAAGTAGTTTTAGCTCAGTAGTAGCTTTAGTTCTCTTAATCAGAAACTGCATTATTTGTAAGTAACCGATTCTAAAACACGCAGTAGAACAGACTGTCCTTACCGAAGAGGGCAAAGCTACAAAGCGCATCGTTTCAGCGCTTGTAAGGATGTAGATTCAGTCTGCAAAGCGCGTACAGCAACTTACAATAAATCTCACTTGCAGTTAATAGAGCAAAACATTCTAGCACGTGTATACAGAACGACTGAGTAATAGTCAAAATTTGTTCTTTCCTTGAACTTCGTGACTTCAAGACGCATTTGGAAGTACAGTTACACCTCCATTCAGAGTCGAAGCCCACATGTTCACCGTGTGATTTGCGTCTTAGGTTCCTGGTTCAGTGGCACTCTATACCCTGGAACACAGCACAACATCGTGGCAAGCGTAAGCCTCAACTAACCGGCTAACAATGAATGTTGGATGATCGGTTCTGCTGTGGAGTATCAATGAATGACGAAATTAAGACAAAAATCTTTTTGTTTTTATTTTCTGAAAGTGTTGACTGGCGTAACACGGCTAACACGTTTTACATGCACGCTACGTCACTGCGCATGAAATTACTGGTAACTATTACAGCCGGTATAAAGAAATAAATAAAATAGCTTGGCGTTATATCGAACATCATTAAAATGCATAACAGTACAAATGTATTGCTACAGATATTGGCGGATGACTACTAATGGGGGTGGTGCTTTATCGGGTTATTCCCTTTGAATTTACAAAGAACATTTCTTTTTTGATGATGTCGTGGCTGCAATTTAAGGGTAGCTGTATACATAGGGGCGCTGTATCGGGCTTGGCTGTATATTGATTTCTTGCAGTGCACTAACGTTCGTGTCGGAGTTCAGAGTTTAAGCGACCCGTTTTAACATTTATAACTGTACGTTACTCATTGCGTATATGTGCGAGTTTCATTTGGTTCTCCTAATAACTAGAAAAAAATATTTTATGAAGACCATTAAAACATTGTAATGGTGATGAGCATTTTATTTGAGATAAGAACAGTGTCTTTAAGTCTTGAGATTTGTCCATTAAAGAGACCTGTTATCATCTGCTTTGTTATGTAAGTTTATGCGAGTAGCATATTAATCCGATACACATTTAGTTAGAAAGATAATATAGATGTTATATAAGAAATAAGCAATTTTATTATGCCAATGAAGTTTGATTTTAAACAGCCTTGTCGGAGGACTTGTAATTTAGCTAGCTAGTTTTTACTTGAAACATGAATTCAAAAATATTGAACGTAACTTCCTCGTCTTCAGAAGCACCAATCAACTGATAATGAGTATAATTTGCTTTTCAATGCACATTATGACATGTTTAATTGATGTTTATAAGATATAGATTCCTCAGAAAGCTAACATGTTGCAGCATCCCATCTCCTTCTCGTATCAACTTTAACTTGTTAATGGAATACTGGAAAGTTAAGCGAGGCGAAATGTAGTCGGGCATACAATTTTCAGTTTGTAACACGTTAAAGACTTTTCTCCAAAAAGTTTTTATTTTTATTTCACTTCATGTCACTTCGTGTTACGAAGACCATGAAAAATATAAAATGGAAAATAAAAGAGGGAAGTGTCATACAAAGACGAGACGTCGTATACCGTTTCGTGTAAATTCCAG